TAAAGAACACAGAAAAATAAGCCAAGTTTAATTTTGTTGATTTTAATTAAAATTAGAGAAACATAAACATTTTATAACTTCATCTAAAGTCTAGGATTTTTTTTTTCAAGAAATAAGCATTGGGATCAGCATTTTCAGCTCTCCAAACCCCTCAGGAGGAAAGTGAAGCAGGCACCCTTTTCAGTGGATCACTACTGAAGATGAGTGTGTGGGCATGTGTGTATGTGAGTGTGCATGTGTGTGCATGTGTATGTGTGAGTGTGCATGTGTATATGTGAGTGCATGTATATGTATCTATGCATGTGCAAATGTGTGTGCATATGTATAACAGAGTGAGTGAGTGTGTGTGTGAATGTGTGTGTGTCACTGAAAAAGTGAAATGGTCTTTAACATAGCAGAACTATCTTGTATTGGCACTAACTTCTAGATTGCCAACTACAATCTTGAGCAAATCTAACTCTAAGAATTAAATTGCCCATCAGTAGGAGAGAAGGCCACACAGTGCTAATAATAGTAATTAAAATATCTTTTTCAACTCGTTGTGCTAAAATCCTTGTGGGTAGATTTTGATGAGATTCAAGCTCGTCGGCGTGATTCTTGGAGATGGGTATATGACATAGACAGCAGACAGATACACTGTCGGAGCTATAGACAATCTGCTGGTGGGCTGGAAAAAACACCAGTTTGGATCTTGGTGGTGTCTAACTGTGCTGTGCACACTGAGAATCAACTTCATGCTAGAATCAATTATTTGTGAGATTGCAGCTGAGGTTTACAAGGGCTTTCATCTGTATCTGCCTGCACAAGCACCATTAAGCATGAAGGACAGACATGGGTCCAGGCTAGCAGTGGTGAGAGGAAGCACATTGGCTTGCTGGGATCTCAAGTTCTGATTTCTTTACCCATCTTCCCCTGAGCCTTCACTTCCCACAATCCTTAGCTGCTTAAGCATTCCCTCCTGAGTAGTTGCCTTTAAGTGGAGACACAGGTGGAGGATACTTAGATACTTACTCCACCTTAACAGAAGCAGCTCTGTGTATCACACATGTGCCTTAAGCCCTTGGAAGCCAAGAGAGGGCAGCAGATCCCTAGAACCGCAGTTACAAATGGTTGTGAGCTGCTGCGTGGGTGCTGGGAATGGAACCGGGGTCCTCTACAAGAGCAGCCAGTCCCCTTAACTGCTGAGCCATCTCTCCAGACTCTTGCCAACTTTGTCAAATAGTTTTTTTCACACAATTTCTAGGCATAATTAATGAATGGAGTAAGCTGGCTGAAGTTAATACAATGAGAATTCAGTTACTGTATTAAAAAGTTGAGTTTTTTTTTATGTTGAACTTTAAGGGGGAAAACTTAGGCTTATATGGAGGGGATTTGGGGTAGAAGTATGCACTGTCCTGGTATTTTATTTACTAAAGAGTGCAGATGGAAGCTTTTAGGAACAGTGAAAATTAGCATTCCCTCCCCTGTTCCCTTTTCATGAGCCAAGGTCTCTTTGTAACCCAGACTGACTGGGAGCTCCTCATGTAGTCCAGAATAGTCTTGAACTCCTGATCCTCTCACTTCAGCCTCCCAGTTTCTGAGTTTATACCTGTGCATTACCAAACCTGACTCAGAGAATGTACTTCAAACCAACTTTATCTTTAAAAAATAATTCTTATTTCATTTTTTTTTGAGACGATCTCCCTATGTAACCTTGGCTGACCTGGAACACACTCTGTAGACCAGGTTGGCCTCCAGCAGAGATTTGCCTGCCTCTGCCTCCTGAGTGCTAGGATTAAAAGCATAGACTGCAAATCTTATTATTTCAAATCATGTGTATGCATTGGTGTGTGCTCATGATTGGTGGTGTCTGCAGAAGTCAGAAGCTTCAGAGCCCCTGGAGTTGGAGTTTGCAGGCATGTGGGAGCTGCCTACTGTGAACATGGGTGCTGGGAAACAGGCTCAGATCTTCTGGAAAAGCAGTCCACACTCAGCCACTGAGCTATCTTAACAGCTCCCAGTGTGGCTTCCCTTTGACATCTCCTACACGTAAAGACATAGACAAAGAAGATGTTCTGGTTAACCACTTACAAATGCCTAGCTTACTGATTTAGACTGAATAAAATGAAGCCCACATTTTATTTCTGACTTTTGCATTGACTCGCATAGTGGAGACGGCTAATATGCTTTAGATGACCCTTCTAATCTGAAACTACCAGTGATGGGGACTGGGAAGGGAGGCCTTGGTGTAGCTGACTTGAAGGTGTTTTCCTCCCTACTTCCTCTGTGTGTGTAGCAAGGAGGAGATTACACGTGAAAATTCCATGATTGTTGTACATGGTATTGTACAGCAAAACATTAGACAAAACCAACTGTGGGACCCAGGGAGACAGAGCTATCATCAGAGGGTGACACCCTTTAAACTGTGATGATATTGGGTATATGGCACCACCCAGGGAAGCAGGAAGCTAACCACTGGTGAACCAACAGGACATAGGAGAACATTTTACAGGTATAATGTAATGGTATTTTTGAGTCATGGAAGAAGTTATGCAAAACTGTTGATTCCAGATTTTGATAAGGGCCTAAGGGTAGTTCCTGATGCATTTTAAAATCCCATTTGAATTTTTATGTCAAAGATTGTGTGTGCTTTCACAGCCGCCTGCTCCGCGGATAGACCAGCTGGCTCCAGTTAGAGGTGAAGAGGCCTGAGTTGCTGCTGTTAAGAAAGTTTTTTGAGTGTCTCACTCATGGTTAGCCACTCTGAGAGAGACAGGGACCAATGCTTGCCCCCAGCAGCTGTGAGCATCATAGTTTCACAAGGGGAATTATGGGAGTGCCTACTTCAATTAATTCTTTTACTTAAGGAATTACATTTTGGGTTGGGATGTGATGCAGTTGACAGGGGGCTTATGTGACTTACAAAGCCCTGGGTTTGATTGCCAGCACCAGGCAAACTGGGAGTGGTGGTTCATGTCTGTAATCCCAGCACTCAGGAGGCAGAGGCAGGAGGATCAGCAATGCAAGGTCCTTCTCTATTAACACAGTGAGTTCCAAGGGGTCAGCCCGGGAAACACGAGACTTTTTTAAACAAACAAAGAAGCAAAAACCAAAACAAAACTTTGGAGTACCAAAGGGAATTTTTATTTATTGTCATTCAAATTTTTGGAATAGTTAGTAAGCAATGCCCCAAATAGGATTTTAAAAGTATGGGCCTGAAAAGATGACTCAGTGGATAAAAACACTTGTCACAAAAGCCAGATGACGTGCACTCAACTCCTAGGACCTAGGTAGAAGAAGAGAACTCACTCCTGAAGATGGCCTTCTGGCTTCCATGAGAGCCTGTGGACACACACGTGGACAAGTGCACACGTGCATAAGTAAATGCTAACACAACAGATAAGGTTGGGTACAAAAACACATTTGCTAAGTAAAACTCCCAGAATATAATTTTTATAATTCAACACGCATAACCCACGTGTTGTCCACAGATGCATGCCTGCATCTGACCAACACTTAGGAATAGGCTTAGAGATTGTCTCCAGAGAGCAGTCACCTCACGAGAGGAGTTGTTCTGGGGAAAGGTCATAAAGCATTTTCAGACAAGGTAAAATGCAAATCACGCTCAACTCTTTGGGTGCTGGCAGTCAGGTGGAGGGGACATTGGGAGAAGGAAGGCCCCACAGCTGTGGCTCAGTGGAAAGTCTATGCTCCAACAGGATGGAGAATGGTCTAAACGAGAGCTCTTGCCGCTTAGTGTCGGGATTTTGCTTCCTTTTACACGAAGCATGGCACTGGGGCAAACCACGTACCACACCGAGCAGGAAAAAAAAAAGTAGAAGACATCTCCTGAAAGTGCTGCAGCAGGAATTTAGGAAACAAAAAAGTATGTTTGGTGGCTTCACTTGGTAAAACTCTTCACTCTGGTGGAAGAGAGACTCCCCCCACCCCATGGCGCCACAGGCAGAGGGTGGCATCTAGATGGGCTTTGCTCTCACTGCCGCTGAGGTTGCTGAGTGGGTCGTGGGATGGGTTCCCAAGCCAGCCGCCCTCATCGCCAGCCTTCTTCCACAGCTCACACTGTCTGGATGTTGATACTTTCTGCATGTTTCCAGGCATGAAAGGATGCATACCAGAAGACCCTATCGAGTGGAGGATGCTGACAGACACTGCCTCGAGGACGACTTGGTCAATCTCGAGGTCCTGGATGAGGTACCGAATATGTAGTAGACTACTCTCAGTGGATGGTTTGTGTTTCACACAGGGGGCCTGCCCCTTCTCTGGACAGCTTTCTAAAGTCATTCAAAAACTGTTTGGTTAACCATGCAGTGACGCTTAGGGAACATTCCATTTGGTGACTACGATCCTCTGTGTGCTTGTATATACACAAGTTTTGGAATGATGAAGAAAAAAATCTCTAGTAAAGCCCCCTCTGTCATAGGCCTGACCAATGAAGCTCACCAACCTAAATTTATTTTCTATTTAATTAAAAAAAAGATATTGCACTTTACCCTGAAGACAGTTGTTTGTTCTTCATAAGGAGATGTTTCCTTCACAAAGATGGTAGCGTTATTATAGTTCATGTTTGAAATCATTCATAGTACTTACATTTGCTTGGGCTGTTAGTTAAGTTGAACCTGCATCTGTAGAGTCTACTGCTGGGGACCCTCAGCGTCAGCCCTTCAGTCACTAATGTATAACAGCACAGTTCAATCCCATAGTCCCACAATCGAGACTTGAAGTGTAACTTTTGAGAAATGAAATTACTAGGACTGGCAAGACGGCTCAGCTGGTAATACCAAGAGCGATTGCTACTCTTCCAGATGCCCCAAGTTCGGTTCTTAGAACCTGGGGGATCTGTTATGTATACAGTTAAATTTAATTATAAATAGAACCTTCTGATCGGACAAAGTCTGCCCCCTACCCAGCAACAACTGACATCTTGGTTGGCTATCTCGATGCCTGTCAGCAACTCCTAATCATTTCAGCACATTCTTATGACATCTTTTCAAGGCATCTGTCACCCTTTCAGAGACTTAGAATTATAAGAGTGTTAAGATTTGAACAGGTTGTCCTCATCTTTTTAGACTAAAGTGTGTAAGGGGTTCATTGCCGCTCTCGGCATCTCTGCCTCGACTGATGATGTTTCTCAAGGCTGTGTCCTCTTCCTAGGACACAATCATCTACTGGCTGGAGAAGCGGTATGCAGATGCGCTGATCTACACCTATGTGGGGGATATTCTAATCGCCTTAAACCCCTTCCAGAATCTAAGCATATACTCTCCACAGGTGAGGAGGGTTAAAAGCATGTTTTGATCCTTGATGGGTAATGAAAATTCACAAGGCTGGGCTAGGGATGTAGCTCAGTGTTAGAGCAGTCGCCCAGCCTGTCCATGGCCCTGGGTTCAAACCCTGGCACCTGAAAAAGAAAATCAAACATGCAAGCAAAATAAAGTAGTATTACAGCTGTGAGATCCATTGCCCATCATGGAGCTAATATCCCAAACCGTAGACAATAATCTAACATGAATGGAATTTTTATCTTTGGGAGAAACTTCTTAAAGCAAGCAGCAATAAAAGTTAATTATTGAATGCTTGTTACATGCCAAGCACTGGGTTGGGTCACTTCTTCTCACCCTATGAGACCAGAAAGCTGTAAATACTATGGCTTCTTCAGAAGAGGAAGAGGCAGAGCAGGGCAGTCAGTGACCCTTATCCGAGCTTGTGTATCCAGCAACAGAGAACAGGGGTCAGAATATAGGCCTGTAGATCCCCGAGTCTTTCAGAAGCAGTGAAAACCCTTGTTCTTTGGGGTAATAGGTAATTAAAGCCTTAGATGGTCCAGGGAGTGCTTGAAGGGTCCTTTGAATGAGCTGCATTTTCCCTCCAGTTTTCCAGGCTTTATCACGGGGTGAAGCGAGCCTCGAATCCTCCCCACATATTCGCATCAGCAGACAATGCTTACCAGTGTTTGGTCACTTTCAACAAAGACCAGGTAAGGACTCACCTTCCTCGTCTGCCAGCTCACGAGGTGAGACATGGTCCGTCTGCCCATTTCTGTTTGGACCTGAGAAATGGGACCTGAGGTTGCGGAGGCTAGCCTGAGGAAATGGGACCTGAGGTTGCTCAGGCTAGCCTGAGGAAATGGAACCTGAGGTTGCGGAGGCTAGCCCGAGGAAAAGGGAAATGGAATTACGGCACAGGGGCCCTGGAAGCCTGAGAAAGACAAAATCCTTTTGATATTCATAACACACAGGGAACACTTATTTTCTCTCGTGAAATGCAGTAAAGACATTTCTAATATGGACATAATGAGAACATAGGGCAGCCACAACCTGATTACATGCAGTGGCTGTAATAAAAATGGGATATATAATGACATAAATGAAATTCCCTCCTATTAACATCTCAGGATCTTCATGACTAGGCCCCCTGTATGTGAAATACTGCACTCCCTGGACACCTGGCCCTATATCGTCTAGTTGCTGGGAAATTTGACGGGCTAGGGTTAAGACTGACAAACTTTAAGCTCAATGTTAGTTAAACACAAACTTAACCAATAAATTTTAATTGTCTAGACTTCTAATTCAAGCATGACTTCTCCTGCATTTTACCCCTCCTCCATTTTGCTGGGTTTATTTTCCTATATTTCTGTATTCTGTGAATGAAGAGAGGGAGCCTAATTTTGCAAGAAATTTTTATGAGAGCTTACTATGTATGTATTTCCAGAGACCAAAGAAATCTAACCTTTTGGGTCTGGGGAGGGTAGACAAAATTAATACCAGTGTGTATTAGTTACTCTTCTGTTGCTGGGAGAAAACACCATGGCCAAGACAACTTCCGGAAGAAAGAGTTTATTTGGCTTCCAGTTCCAGGCGTGTAAGAATCTCTCATGGTGGGAAATTATGACAGCAAACAAGATGGCTGCTGGAGCAGCAACTGAGAGTGCTCACCTTGAACTGCAAACACAGAGCAGAGAGCAGACTAGAAGCAGGCAGAACACTTTCACTCTCAAAGCTCCCAAGTGACAACACCCCTCCAGCAAGGCAGCACCTTCAAAACCCTCTGAACAGGGCCACGAGCTAGGGCCTGAGTGTTCAAATGCCCTAAACTCTAAGGGACATTTCTCACTCAAACCACTGCACAACAAAATTCACAGAAGAGAGGTTTGCTGACATTAGAGATGACCTTCTCTGCATTATTATGGAAATTTAAAAGCTGTCCACAGATTTGCCAGAGAGGAAAGAAGTGAGCAGAGCAGCGTGACTTTCAACTTAAAAAGCTTGCCTGCTGGAAGGTTTTTTTTTTTTTTTCCTGTCCTCCCATCCCCACCCTATTTTGTCTCTAACACCAAATTGTGTGTTTTTCAAAACTAAACGTTTTTTGCAGGGTGTCCTACAATTTAGAGCAATCCTGACACACCCTGGAGTTAGCACAGACCCCACGGGTTATAGGTTAATTTCAACAAAAATGCCCACATGTCAGATGCCGGCCACAAATGGAGTACCCAGGAGCCTCACACTCCTGCCAAGCCAAGGACAAGTTCAGGGGTTTTAATAATCCTCTCTCAGCCTGGCTAATTCAGTAGGATAACTCAAAGAATTAAGGAGAACACTAAATTTGTCTTGACTGCATATTAGGTACAAACTAGGGCAATGGTGTGGGAGACATGCGTGGAACAGGTGGAGGGAGGGGATGGGAGTGTGTAGGATCCTGCCTTTCATCTGAGCACTCTCTCCCAGGATCTTCAATTCAACAGTCCCTAAACTCACTGAATCTCATTTGTTTAAGAGATTTTATAACTCAACGGTTAAGAACACTGAATGCCCTTTCAGAGGACCCAAGTTCAATTCCCAGCACCCACGTGGTTGTTCACAACTGTCTGTAGCTGCAGTTCCAAGGGAATTCAATGCCCTCACATAACACACATGCAGGCAAAGCACCAATGCATATACAATAAAAATAAATAAATCATTAAAAAAGTTTTTTATAACTCAGTGAATTAGACTGAGATGAATATAGTCAAAGTCTATGATGTACTTGAAGAAATTACCTTTGCGAAACCCAACATTATGTGCCAAGAATAGATGCTTATAGAGTATTTTAAATAATAAAATAAATAAAATAGTTTTTTCATTAAAAATTTTTATTGAAAGAAAAAAATTTTATTGAGTTCAATTCGCAACCTCTTTTCCTTTCTGGAAGTTGGGGGGGGGGAGTCTGAAAGTTCCCATTCTTTGCCCATCTATCTGTTCTTTCTCATTGCCCATCCCCATGTGAAGTAGTCTGGCTCCCACTGGAGCCACCTCGTGCACAGCAGAGATGCGGTTAGAGCAGAAGATTCTCTCATCACTCCATCAGTTAGGAAATTCCAAGAAGCTGTTTGCCAGGATCCAGGGACAAAGGCCAACCCTGTCGCTTTTATTCTCCCTCATCACTGACTTCCTTTGCACAGGAAGAGCTCCAGGAAGTGATTAAAAGAACACAGCCAACAACACAGTTAAAACAGGCAGTAGAGATGAGGACAAAAAGAAAATAGGGTTGACCTTAAGCGTGTGGCAGGCATTTGACCTCACTCGTAATAAAAGAGGTGCAGATTCAAAGAGCATTGAGTACCTGCTTCTAACCTATCAGATTAGCACAAATCCATGCACTGTGTGGTGAGGCTGCAAAAGAGCAGACTGCATCCTGGGTGCAGCCTCAACTCCACATGCCCCGTTCATGTCTCCCACATAGATGTCCCTGGGCTCTGTACCCTTCCTAATATGCCAGTAAAGATAAATTGTTCTCTAGTGAACTAGAGAGCTGCTATGGTCCCAAGTCAAGCAACCCAGGAGTAGCTATTTTACAAATATTTTTACTTTTTGATCGAATGTTGCCCACTTGGAATTTATTCAGCAGACGAACCTGAATGTAGATACAATGACCTGTGTATAGAATGAATCGTTGCAATACAGTTTATAACAAGAATTGACCAAACAACCTACAGGGATCAGTTAACAATGGCACCATCAGACAATGCTACATCTAAACTTTACAATGATAAGCAGCTGTCCCAGCTCATCGTATAGTGGAAAGAGTCCCAGGATAGAATGATTGTTCAGTGAAACATGGAGGAATATAGTGGGGTATGTTGTGTGGAAAAACCACAGCCAAATGTGCAGGTTGTTTCTGTGTGGTGATTGGTTGGGTTCCTCCCTGACTGTGTTTTCTGTATTAGTGCATCGTCATCAGTGGAGAAAGTGGATCGGGGAAGACAGAAAGCACCCACCTCATCGTTCAGCATCTGACTTTCCTGGGAAAGGTAAGGGCCAACCGAATTCTGCACGGTGGTTTGAAGGCCCTGCAGAACCAACTGTACGTTTTATAGCAGATGGGAGTATTATAGTCTTTTTTTTTTTTTTAAATCGGGAGTCACATAAGAACACCCCGTCTTTGTTGTGTTGCCTCCTGATAGCTAGGCTCTTAAGATGCCAGCATGCTGTCCTTACTTCACGTCGTGAGAAAAATAAAACCAACATGGAGTTACTACATTGCGGGCAAATCAGTTATTTTGTGTGTTTCCATGTAATAGAAACATTGAGCTGTTCAGTGGGAGAAGTGAGTCGACGCTGAGTCAGAGCGCTGTGGTGATTAGGAAAACGACGACTAGAGTCCCTTGAGCAACAGTTGAGGAAAAGGAAAATGGTAGCTTGGACAAGGACTCGGAAGGAAGGGTTGCAAAATTAGTCCCGGAGGTGCCTATCCTTGGCCTCTAAGAGCATCACGCTGACTAAGAAAAGGTATTGAGGGCTCCTTTATTATCGCTGAGGTGCATTGAAAAGCAGAGTGGAAAAGTATTTGGAATTCTTTCTAAACTGTTAGGCAGGAAACATCTGTCAAGACTTTCCTATGCAGTGCAATCAGACTTTAAAACTGCTACCGGGGCTGGAGAGATGGCTCAGAGGTTAAGAGCACTGGCTGCTCTTCCAGAGGCCCTCAGTTCAATTCCCAACAGCCACATGGTGGCTCACAACCATCTGTAATTCGATCTAGTGCTCTCTTCTAGACTGTAGGCAGAACACTGTATATATAATAATAAAAACAAAATAACAACAATAAAAAAATACCTGCCACCAAATCTGGCTTTGTGACTCATGGTACCTGGAGATTCCTTCATCAGGGTTGACACTAACTTTCCCAAAGTGGAGTTCCTTAGAAAAGGTGCATGAGCTACGTGTGTGTGTGTGTGTGTGTGTGTGTGTGTGTGTTGTGCCTGGCAAGACATTAGAATGCTGCTTCTGAAAGCTTCTCCTAACCACCATCTGCTCACCCCAGGCCAACAATCAAACCTTACGTCAGAAAATCCTCCAAGTGAACTCCCTGGTGGAAGCCTTTGGGAACGCCTGCACGGCCATCAATGACAACTCCAGCCGGTTTGGAAAGTATCTGGAAATGATGTTCACACCAACTGGAGCTGTGATGGGTGCGAGAATCTCCGAGTACCTCCTTGAAAAGTCCAGAGTTATAAAGCAGGCCGCGTAGGTGCACTTCTGTTTTATCACCGGTTTTTGCTTTGCCAATCTAAACTTGGAGGATTTGGGAGCTTCAAAGGTTCCATCTCCCCTTGTTCGTTAGTCTCCCTCAGTGTTTTAAACAAAGGATTAGTGATGGTTAATGTTTGCTTTTTAAGATTTAGTTTTGTCTTATGTTCATGAGTGTTTTACTTGTATGCATGTCTGTGTACTGTATGGGTGCCTGTTACTCTAGGAGACCAGAGGAGAAAGTCAGGTCCTTGGAACTGAAGTTATAGATTGTTGTAAGCTGCCATGTGCAGCCTGGGAACCGAACTCAAAGCCTCTGTAAGAGAAACCAGTGCTCTTAACAGCAGAATCGTCTCCCCAGCCTTTGGTGGTAGGTTTGTTTTTGTTTTTATTTTTGTGTTTTGGGATTTTGTTTTGTTTTTTATCTAAAAGGCATTAAGGGGAGAGTGCAAAGGACTTGGGGAGGGCTTTACGGATGGTGTGTCTGTTTCTTTTGAGTTGGTTGTGTAAGGTAGGGTGTGACAATAATTAGTTTGTGCACACCTTAAGGGTTTGCATCATCTCACAGTTCCAATGGGGATATAGGCCATCATGTCTGGGAAAGACGATAGCCAGGAGCATGAGGCTGGCCGATCACATTTCATCGACACACAGGAAGCTGAGAGTGAGGACAGGAAGTCTAGTCAGGCGGTCAAACCTCATAGGCTGCCTCAAGTAATTTACTTTCTCCTTCAAGGCTCCACTGCCTAAGGGTTTTATAACCTTATCAGATGGTGGCACCAAGCTGGGGTCCTAGCATTCAAATATACAAGCCTGTGAAGGACAATTTTTAAATTATAACACTCTGTTTTAGGAAAAGCAAGGTAGTAATTGGTAATAGTTATTAAGGGCATGTCGCTCTGGACTTGACCCTGGGTCTGACACTCTGACGTTGGGCCTCATTTGGGAAATGGAGATGCTACCAGCCATGGCCTCATGGGTTTGTTGGGAAGACCGACTATTCATCTGTATAAAACGACTCAAAAACATGTGCGATGTAGTGCATTTTGACAGTGTTAGTTACTCTTCTCCTGATTGGTTCTGATGGCTACATCCACTCAATACTGAACGCCCGCTATATGACAGTAACATGTTCTCTGTGGGAACTGCCAGAGTAAACAAGACAAAGTCCTTGTGTCCACAGAGTGTGGAGTGGGTGTGTGTGGTGTTGATGGTGGGGGCGGGGTGAGAGGATCACAGTTGTGAATAAATAAACAGAGCCGCTGTGACTAGTGTTCAGAAGCAATAGTGCTTCCGAGTAAGAACTAAGAAGGTGAAAGGGGCAAAGAGGAGAACACGCAACCTGGTTTAGGAAAAGGAGTTACAGTTGCGTTGTGTTCATGAGGAAAGCAGAGTTCCATTCATAATAAGACACCATGGCCAAAGGCAACTTGGGAAGGACAGGATTGCTTTTGTTTACATTTTGACATCCCAGCCCAGTGTCAAAGGAAGTCAGGATGGGAACGCAAACAGGATAGATACCTGGAGGGGGAGCCAATGCAGAGGCCATGGACAAGTGCTGCTTGCCAGTTTGCTCCCATGGTTTGCCCAGCCTGCTTTCTCACACCAAATGCACCATGGGACAATCTGGTAGGAGCATTTGTTTTCAACTGAGGTTCTCTTTTCCTAAACCACTCTGTCTGGTGTCAAGTGGATGTGAAACTGAGAGGAAAGATGGGTTTCCAGGATTCAAGACATTTGATCTGAGATCTGTGCATCACTTAGGAGTTAGCCAACAAGCTGGAGACAGGAGTGGGGGAGAAAGAGATAAAGCAAGAGGGGAGCTGGGAGTGAGGGTTTTAAAGGAAACAATCAGGGGGCTATGATAAAGAATAGTGCTGAGAATGGAGATCACATATGCCAAGTCAAGGGAAATAAACCCACGGCGAGGCCCAAGGCCTGAGCAGGAGTTGGGGGCAGTTGGAGACAGAAGGGAAACAGACAGACATCTGCACACAAGGATTCAGAGAGCTGTCTTACACTTGGTCAGCCTCTCAAAGGTTCTTTATTCAAAATCCATCTGTCAGACCTTCAGATGACCTCATCCAGAGATGGGGGACCAGGAATGGGATACTCGAGTGTGCCCAAAGAAGGGCAGAGCCACCATAGTTAGAAGGGCAGAACCTGAAAAGCCATAAAGTGTCTGCATTTCATTCAAGTCTCTCTCTCTCTTTGTTTTTTTTTTGTTTTGTTTTTTGTTTGTTTGTTTATTTGTTTAAGACAGGGTTTCTCTGTCTCTGTTGCTTTTTTTTTTTGTTTGTTTGTTTAAGACAGGGTTTCTCTGTTGCTTTGGAGCCTGTCTTGGAACTCACTCTGTAGATCAGGCTGGCTTTGAGCGCACAGAGATCCACCTGTCTCTGCCTCCCGAGTGCTGGGTTTAAAGGCGTGTGACACCATCGCATAGCTAATTCAAGAAAATTCATTCAAGTCTCTTACTAACTTGGGAGGATGACATTATTAGACCTGTGTGACACATAAAGAAAGTAAGATGGGACAACATTTATGGCCATCTAACTTTGTCTAGAAGGAACGCTCCAAAAGGCTATGAATCCTATTGGTCTTGTTTCTCTGGCATCCGGAATAGTTCCTGCCATAATTGGCATTCAGTACATTTATCCATTAAAATATAATAATCTTTTCAAGTCATCTTTGTATATTCTGTGTCATAGTGCATACCTTAAATACAAACAATAAAGTTTATTTTAAATGATAAAAGTAGCTTGGCATGGTGTCATGTACCTTGTAATGCCTGTACTGGGGAGGTGGAGGCAGGAGGATCACAAGAAGCAAGCCAATGGCTGGGGTTTTAGCTTTTGGTAGAGTGCATGATCCTGGATTCCTTGAGTTTATAATGAAGCTACATGTGTTCGGTAAAGTGCCATTGCCATTACTACTCTATGAATATTACCACTATTGCTGTCTTCTAATTGGGATGATATATATTTAATTGCCTGCATATGTAAATTTGTTGCAAAATAATATTTTGTACAAAAGAGGAACTGGAATCAATTATTTAGTTCAGGAAAGCCTGGACTACAATATAAATAAAACCTCTTTCTCAATTTATTTTTTCCAGGGGAGAGAAAAATTTTCACATATTTTACTATATTTATGCTGGCCTTTATCACCAAAAGAAACTTTCTGAGTTCAGACTTCCTGAGGAAAAGCCTCCTAGGTAAGTGTAATTGGAAGACCCCTGACTGCTGGCAAGGAGGAGGCTGCTGGTTAATTTTGAATGAGGGTTCAGTTAAGCTGTTGACAAATCTAGAAGTAAATGGAGCTGTTTCCTTAACTGGAAACTCATTCTGTTAACTATGCAAGAGGAGGGAGCAAGAATGGCATCTCAGCACGTGCATCGTTTAGCGTGATCGAAAGCTCAGTTACAGCCGTTTCTCCCAGCCACACCATTAGCTTGTTAACGAAACACCCTTGCGAAGAAGCCCGGGTTTGCCTGCCCTGGGCCACAGTGCTGTGTGCTGAATGAGTGTTTACTGTGTTGAGTCATGTTCCACTTCATTCAGATACATAGCTGCTGAAACTGGACGAGTCATGAAGGACATCACGTCCAAGGAGTCTTACCGGAGACAGTTTGAGGCGATCCAGCATTGCTTCAGGATTATCGGGTTCACCAACAAGGTATACGCTGGACGAGAGGAAACGAACACAATGCAAATGTCTGTAGATGGGTGGGAGAGAAGGCACGTGTGCTCTAACTTGCTGGACACATATCAAATGCATGTTCCTTGTGAGATAATGCATGTCTATTCAACATGTGGTATAAAGATCCAAAACTTCATCATTCCCCGAGAGCCCGTTTGGAGTGTGGACCCTCTGGTCCATCCAACAATGACCAAATCAGAATCTGAATTGGAACAAGGTGCCCCCAATGAACATAAATTATGAGAGTAAGGACTGGACACCTATCAATTGTTACCACTGTCATAAATTCAGCCTGGTTATAATAACAGATGCCAAAAGCATACTGTCATATCTTGAGTCGATATTGCTTCTGAAAGGAGGCACTTAGGAATGTATAGGTTGTACCCAAACTCTAGGATATACATTTTTGCAAGTAGCTCTTTGTGCACACGACAAACTAATTAAAACCCTACCAATATCTCTGCAGTCGTGTTCCCCCGCTGTACTTGCCCACTGTAGCTGACTAGGCTTTGTGCCACTTTGGTCATACTACATAGAGACTTTCTCTATTAGACACACGCTAAGGTTGACACAGCATTTATGACTCAAGGATCAAATATGGCTCCGTGATACATTATTTCATAGTTTCTGGGCTCCGTGCCATCGGTTTTGTAAGAACGTACAAGCTCTTTGGCTTTGCTGGCACGGGGCTGAGTGATTAGGAGGAAAGCTGGAGAGTTAAATCTTAGGAGATTAGATTACAAACTTTCTGTTTACCTTGGGGCAGCTGCTCTGGATAAAGCATTGCTTCTGCAACCCAGCGAGGTTGACCCGTCCTTTTCTCCCTAGCCTAGCTGATTTGAGTCCTAATAATACGTTTCATTTTTTTCCTAGATAGCTGCTCATTTTGTTGTTGTTGTTTTGTCTCTCGGTCCCATAAATGGACAGGGGAATATTCCAAAAGTCAAGATAAAAATAGAAATATACTTCACCCCGCTCCTCTGAGGGCAATTTAAAAGGTTCCTGCATCGTTAGAAGGTTTTTATGGCGACTGACTTATGGAGCTCATTTTTATCAATGTCACATCATCAGAGGAGCTGATGGCAGAGGCAGAAATGAAGCTGTTTAAAGCACAAGCCCCTGCCCGCGGTCATGCCAGAGTGTGGCACATCTGTCCTTAAAGGAGAACAGGACCCAAGGCGAAGGGAGCCTGTCTGGGAGATGATGGTTTGCTTTCAGTGAATAAAAGATGATAGAATGTTATGATGTGATTGGCCTGGGCATCAGAAGAGATCACACAATGATATTATTCTGATAGAAAAAAAAGCTTCTGTCCTACTTAGATTTTCTATTGCTATAATAAAATACCATGACCAAAAGCAGCTAGGGGCTGGAAGGGTTTATTTCAGTTGAAAGCTTGTCTAGGGAACACAGGGCAGGGAGCTGGGGGCAGGAGCTGACACAGAGATCAGAGAAGGCCACCTACTGGCTTGTTCCTCTTGGCCTGATCAGCTTGCCTTCTTACAGCACCCATCTACGGTTAACACTGCCCTCAGTGAACTGGGTTTCTCTACATAACAACCTAGAGAATGCACTACTGGCTTGGCCACAGCCACTCTAGTGGCTGCATTTTCTCAGTTGAGGGTCCCCCTTCCAAAAAGACCCCAGCCTGTGTGGGGTTGATGTAAAAACTAGCCAGCATGGCTGCTGATCATCAAACAGATGGTGATGGTTTAACAGGAAATGAAAGAGAAGCAGTTAAGCATTTGAGTGTATGTCGTTGAGGCAGGTCATTCCTGGGCACGGGGTGGTGGGTACACTAAAAGGAAAGGATGACAGTGTAATAGATATGAGAAGAAAGAGATGAGAAAGATGGCAAAACTTGTTAATCTGTGCCCGGTCAGTGAGCAACAGGAGTATAATGGCCTGCTGCTGTGTGTCCTCCGGCTGAAATGTGGTAGTGTGTTACTACGTATCCGTCCCTAGGTGTAGCTCCCCAGCATATAACCGGGGTATGACGGCATGTCATTGTGTATACCGTCCCAGTTTATAACAGGAATGTGACGGTAAGCTGTGTGTCTCTCCAGCGCGTAACAGGGAAGTGACAGTGTGTCACCGTATGTCTCCTCCCCGTGTCCCACATCAATTCATTTGGGAATAAACCAACCTAAGTTAATTAGTAGCTTTGGAAACGCAAGGGAGACTAAGGGTTTTATCTCTCTGCCCCTCTGTCTCCGCAGACAACCTTCTCCGCTGGATTATCACTCCATGTCACGTCTAGAAAGTCAGGGCACCATGACTAAATTCAGGAAGACTCGGTTGTGTAGAATCAGGCAGCAGATGCTGATGGGACAGAAATTCTCTAACGATTTTCTGCCAGTCATTTCTCAACAGAGCTTAAATGAACTGACCAATTCAATTAAAATTCTATTTCCGGTCCTTTCTTAGAAGGTCCCTAGTTCCCTGTGGGAACTCCTCAAGTTTGTTTGTTTGTTTTTTTGTTTGCTCCCCCTACCCCCCACAAAACCTCACAAGAAAATTATGGCACACAAACCTTAGTGCAGACTTGAGAGGCTAGATTTTAATTCCAGGCCCCATCCTAAAGCATTCAGAATAATGTTTGGCCCTGGGATTTCCATGGAGAAGCATTCCGGGCAGAAGGAATAATGGGGGCTCTGTGCAAGGGGCAAGGGGATTCGACCGTAAACCCAGCTGAGCTATCTTGAGCCCAACCACGCTGTTTCTGTTTGATATGAAATAATGCTGACCCTGCTGCTACGGGCTTTATCCTAACATACTTTGTAAGTGAATTGTCGGACTTAAAGGGGCATGAAACCCTGGATGCTGCCTACGGTGATAGAGAGGATGTGTGCGGCTGATGCTAGGACACAGAGGTCAGAAAGAAACCTAAGCTCAGGGCAGCATTTCTTCACTTTCTTCAAACTATATCGCCAAAGTGATACTTCTGAAGAGAGATTCGATTCTGAAGAGTTCTATGTTAAAATAGCAACCAAAAGGCTTAAGGGTGGGATACACTGACCTAAGTCACTAAATGTCATCAGCCGCTGCCAAGGAGGGGAGTAATATGTTATAATCTCCAGCTGACCCTGATTCCAGTACTTAGAACTGTTGAAAATCAGACTCTGAGGAAAGAAAGGGATGAAGTAAATTTCCACTAAAGAAAGACAGCGGCCTGAGGTGCCCGGGAGCCAGGTCAGAGGGGATTCTGCAAAGCAGCAGCAAGTCCTTCCTAACTTTGAACTTGGCCTGAACATCATCTAGGCAATACTTGTCTTGGGAAAAACTGAGAAAAGAAAGCTTTGGTGGAGAAGGGTTCTTTCTTCTCCCACTACTGCTTCCCAAACTGCCCAGAAGCCGTTTGTTGAGATGACCCAGTTGGAGGACTTGCCAAACCTTCTTAATAAAACTCTCATTTGAGTGAGGTTTGATCATTGTTTCATATAGAAAGGCAGAGACTAGAAATAGATAAGAATAGAGTTGTAAGACTCCACAGGGAAGGCCGAGGTTCCAGAAAAGTCTCCATAGCTCTGATGAGGCAAGAGAAAACAAGTTAAGGAAGGTGAAAGAGATTTCCCATTCCACCAAGAAGTTTTGGGGAAGTAGGAGCCATTCCATGATAGACACAGCATTGGGAGCACTAGCGTTGCTGGCTATGGTATTTTGAACTGAACTCTATGGTAGGTGGAGGTTCCTAGGTCAGAAAGGAAGACATGATTCACCCCCAGGCCAGGCTAATGGAGTGGAGTGGGTGACAGTCCCAGAGATGCCACATAGGTAGCACCCTCAGGGGATGAGATCATCCCTGCCTTCTTTATTGATCCAAGGAAGGAGACCTAAGGAAGTGGCTCTAGTGCTTGGGGTTTGAATCTAAACGTGCTCCCTGGAGGTCAGAGGTAGGTTCCCACATTTGCTGACCCTCTGGGCATAGCACTGAAGAGAACATGGCCAGAGAAGCAGCGTGGTGAGTTGTTGATCTCAAGAGCTTGGTCTCAGGTGTTCATTTTCTTTGGAGCTCATCATCACAGTGCTGAAGTGCTTGAAGCCCTTTCGGGGGGAGATGCCTCGGTTTGTATGGTAGGGACTATGTGTGTTTGCCAGAAGAACTACAGTTTTCCTTAGAGTGAGGAGAGTTTTAGATAACCCCTTGGATACAGACACGGTGGATGCAGAACTCATCGCTGTGGTCTTGGCTGCAAACTCTCAGATCTGCCGCTGTCGGGAGTCGCTTGATGCATGAAGCTCATCCTGTATTGATCACGGTAATGAGGGGCTGTCATGTTAAATCCAGGCAAGTTTTTTAAAAAACCCATTTGGTAGGTGTTCTCCTTAGCCACTTCTAAGTGGCGTGATTAAATGGGAATTCGCGAAGTCTGGAACACGACATCCTGCCCTTGATTTAGAAGCTGGAAGAACAATACTTATCTGCGGCAGAAGCCCAACTTCGAGTCCTCATTTGTCTTTGCAGCATTATCAGGCATCCGGCAGATGTCAGTGTTACAGCCTGTATTCAGATCTGAGGTGTTACTGAGTAATGTCTGCAGGGAGGCTCAGTTTGGGGGGCAGTATTTATCAACGGTCCGGTGACAGTTCCTATTACTCGGCTGCTAAGTATAGTATTAAATCAAATAGCCCATTTGAATATGTTTTATGGAAGTATTTTGTTGATTAGCATAAAAATTCCCAACTAGATGTTTCCTTATTTTACATATAGAAAAATGTAAAATTTAAACAAATTGTAAGTATGCCTTATTTTTAATCCATCAATACTACCTTACATGCTCAGCTTTGAACATGAAAACAGGACTTAGATGATCTGGATATATTTTGCTCAAATTTATGTCACCAAATATGTGAGACTTTTATTTTCTAAAAGTCCCTATCAATTAGTCTCTTATACCAACTCAATGGCCTACAATTCTGAGACTCTCATCTAGAGTTAGTATCAGATCCTCCAAGTTCAAGGCTCAGTCCCATAAGAACCCCCACTTTAGACACCAATTGGAAGCCCCAGGCTTCTTATACTTCTGAACTGGTTATAGAGTTACTATGACCTTATTCTATAGCTTGATTAGTTGGTATAACTAATTCGAATTATTATTATTATTATCATCAGTAGTAGTAGTGTAGTTAATAACTAGTTCACAGAATTCAGGAGAACATTTTACTCAAGGTTGCAGACTTATTATAAAGGTCACAACCCAGGGATGGCTAAATGAGAAATGATTGGGCAGTACATAGAAAGGGACTCATACCCTCGGGCACAACACCCTGCCAGCACCTACATGGTTCACCAGCTTGGAAGCTCCCTGATGCTGTTTCAGGTTTTTGTAGAGTTTCCACCACATCATACCACACACACACACACACACACACACACACACACACCTGATTAATTATTGGTCATTCGTGATTAACTCAGTTTGGAGCCCTAGCCCTCCCTAGAGTTCGATGGGATCAGGTGGGAACTAAGTTCTAAGATTGAGCAGCCAGCCTCTCAGACTGCAAGTCTTATCTAGATGCCCACTAAAATTCACTTATTCACAGAAGCACAGGTACGGTTAAAGGTATCTTCTGCCATAACAAAGATCTGATCACCCAGACAATTTTAGAAATTCTTGTGCTAGGAGCTAGAGACAAGGGTCTTTCAAAATAAGTTCTCCCATCGGGCATTACAACCTGTAGCTCTGAGATACCCTAGTAAGTTCTAGGGTGCCCTCCTAGATATTTTATAAAACACTGTACCCAAAAGAGGTGAGGGAACATCTCTCTTGTTCCATCTCTGCGTTGGGAGCTGGGATTAATTAGAGCAAAAGGCTAGGTGAGTTAAAGGACAAAGGTCATTTCTCTCTTGGTCACCATGCCAGCTGACAGAACATCTGCATTCCATGGAGCCTTCTCTGGTCTAGTGCAAGGCTGAGGTCATGTGGCCGGGAGTCCACACCAGCAGCAGTGAGAAAGAAAGCATGGATGAAGAGTGCTCTCTTCCCCTGGGCCTGGGACTCAAGGAGGCATAGTCTACTTGTTTCATTGTTAATGCTTAGTGACCTTGCTACCTCTAACTTCAGGAAGGTTAGGGAGCCTGTGTGTGTGCAGGAAGAGGCAGAACAGAGTTTGATGGACAACTGTAGTATTTTCAACTAAAGGGTGAATGATTTGTCCCTTTGATCAGCGATGACCTCCAATCACGGCTCTCCCTGCTCTTTCCAGGAGGTTCATTCCGTGTACAGAATTCTGGCTGGGATTTTGAATATCGGGAACATTGAGTTTGCAGCTATTGCCTCTCAGCACCAAACGGACAAAAGCGAGGTACCCAACCCTGAAGCTTTGGAAAATGGTAATTGATGCTTACATGCTTTCTTATCCAAGTTCACATCTTTCACTTCCACAGTTTTCCAAGAATCTATAGAATTTGATGCTACTGTAATATCCTCCTGTTAGCTCTAGATGGTTCCAGTAGCTAGCATTTCCCAGAAGGACATCCTGTGATATAGGAACACTCACTCCCTATGTGATAGAGGCTGGTTCTGCAGAAAACCTATCTGTGGCAAGAAACTTTACACAGTGGGTTTCCACTTTTGCTGCTTTGCAAAATCATTTATTAAAAAGAAAAAAATAAAAGGTTTATGAATCAATAAACTCAGCATCCATTGGAGAGAAATCAGCACCTTATTTTGTAAGTTCTACTAGCAAGCATGATAAAAGAAAGGGTGAGGAGTCTTCATGTCTATAAAACAAGCGGCTGAGGGCTGGAGAGATGGCTCACTGGTTAAGAGCATTGCCTGCTCTTCCAAAGGTTCTGACTTCAATTCCCAGCAACCACATGGTGGCTCACAACCATCTGTAATGAGATATGGTGCCCTCTTCTGGCCTTCAGGCATACACACAGACAGAACATTGTATCTGTCTGTGTGTATCAAACAAAACGAGCAGCTGATTATGATGCTGCATACCTGTAATCTCAGAGCTTGTGGAGTGGCCTGGGGATGCAGAATATGAAGCCAGCCTAGGCTACATAGTGAGACCCTGTCTCCAAAACAATTGATTAAAAAAACCCTTTTTGGGAGCCTGCATGGGACCTACCTAGGCTCTCTGCATATGTATGACAGTTGTATAGCTTGGTGTGCTTGTTGGGCTCCCAGCAGTGGGAGCAGGGCCTTTTGTTGGAGCTATAACTGGCTCTGGGAACCTACTCCCCATGCTGGGTTGCCTCACCAAGCTTTGATGCAGGGGAGGAGCTTGGTCCTGCCTCAATTTTCTGTGCCCTGTTGACAACCGTGGGAGGTCTTCTCCTTTCTGAATGAAGGTGGAGAAGTGGATGGGGGGTGGTAGATGGGAGGTGTGTGTTAGGGGAACAAGAGGAGAGGAGGGAGGGGAAACTGTGGTCAGTATGTAAAATAAATT